TGACAATGACCAGAGCCCCGTCGAGCTGCCAGAAATCACGAGAGAGCAGAAGGGTTTAAGGAGAAGACCGGAGTGTTCCCAGGATGTGCCGCAGAGGTGCGAGACTAGGCTGGACGCACTCATGTCCTGACAGGGAGGGGCCGGCAGAAGGTGGGCTGGACATCCGATCATCTGATAAGGCAGGACTGATGCTCCAGTGTTTCTTTCTCTCCGCAGGGTGTTCTGGAAATGACCAACATCCTCAAGCAGTGAGGCTAAGAGATGATAGTTTGGCCGAGTGAGATTGACATCTCAGGAGGGCGGCCATAACTGTATCTCACCCTCTGGAGCTGAAGAAACAGGACACTGGGAGTGAGTTCCACCTGCCTACAGAACCGACACCACTGCTGAGCTGTTCCATGGAGGACTGGGAGATTATTCTACAGAACAGAAAGACTTTCATTGCACTAACACCACTATTAAACAGCTCCAGTACTGGGTCTCACTAATTTTATTAACCTTATAAATAGTTACAAACGTACATGAGCTACTGTTTACAATTAATCGTACACAACAGTTTGTATTGTCTTCTGCTCTTTGTGTAATTGCTTGAGCATAATGCTTAAAGAGAGTTTTAAAGTGACTGGCGCTGACGCAATCCCAGCAGTGAACAGCCGCAGAACAGAAACAGAGCTGGCCAAATGACACACCCACTGCAAAGTGCACAAAAGTCACTTAAAGCATTTACTGACGTTGTAAAAAAGCAAATAACACAGTCAAAACCGTATAACTTACCATCTGATGAATAGCTCTTTGCATCAGTCACTTAAAAATGACACTGAACACTCATCTTCAGAATCACAAGCAGCTATCTCTTACTGCACGTGCTCTGTGACAGTGTGACCAGATTAAAATGGGAATATTTTAGTACTTTAACTGTAAACCAATGTGCTTCTCTTTCACATCATTGAGCCTTGAGAGGAAGATCTGGGGGAGGAATGATTTGATTTACCAATGAAAAACACTTGCACAAAATACTTACTGCACCGTATTTTCCAACTAAAGACGTAAATAAGATCCATCACAAAGCATATAGTAAGAAAACAAGTGATTTTGCTGTTTATTCAGTGTTGTGCTGTGTTTTCATCAACATTACGCAGGATGGTGTTTCCCCAGCACTGCAGCAAGGGAGGGTGCTGCCTGATCCATTCCAGACAGCTCCTGACCAGCTGCCCTCACTGCTCCCAGTAGTGGCATGAGGTCACACGGACGTTTCCCTCTCCAGGGCGAAGGGAACTCCCAGACGGGGTTAGGGACCGGAGAGCAGGGAGGGAGGAGGTGTGGGGGGGGGTACCTCAAACCTCTCTCTCCCTTCACACGACTGGAGGAAGGCAATATTGTCCCATATCACCACATCGTATAGCACATCAAGCAACATGATCAAGCGTAGGGGGGTGTAAGGCCCAGCTGAGGGGATTTGAGCCAGAACACCATCTCCTGAGAAAGCTGCGCGCACAGTCATATTCACGCCTCTTA